GCAAAGCCTTATGGGGGGGATTTGCATGTGAGGTAACCCTCTTTCTGGATATCCCTTTTGAAGCATCTTTGGAAGTTTTCTGGGTTCTAACAGTGGCTGCATTCCAGAAATGAGGTTAATAGTTTGACTACCTCCTTCTCTCGAACTACTCTTTATTTTATTTTAATTTTTTTGGCAGTACTGGGGCTTGAGCTCAGGGCCTTCACTTTGAGCCACTCCATCAGCACTATTTTTGTGAATGGTTCTTCAAGATAGGGTCTTGCAAACTATTTGCCTGGGCTGGCTTCGACTGCCATCCTCCTGATCTCTGCTTCCTGAGTAGCTAGGATTGTAAGTGTGAGCCACCAGCACCTGGCTTCTAACTACTATTTAAATTTGAGAAGGGGAGAAAAGAACTAATTTAAACCATAGTCAAAACTAGGCAGTGAGTCTCTTGATAGGAAAACCTGAGAAGGTCCCTCAAGCACCATAACTTAAGAGTGTGGGAATTTTGCTGTACAAGGCAGTGGCTTAGAGCTTGAACTCTGGCTTCCTAGGTTTAAGTCCAAATACTCTACTTGCCAGTTGAATGGACCTTGAACAAATTATGTAACTTAACTATACCTCTGTGTTCCCATCTGTAAGTGGGGGATATAAAGAACCTACCTCACCTACCTACCTATTCTACCTGTGTGGTAAGAATTAAATGAACTAACATGTGTAATGTACTTAGAAGTACTCAGTTTTATCTATCATTGTGCTTCTTTCCCAAGACAGACTTAACTTCTTCTTTATCCTGACAGACCCAGAAAGCTCTGCTACCCAGGAGGGCCAGAACTAAACTGGGGAATTCCAGAGTGACTCAAAAAATTGAGGAGAGGTGTGGCAGATGTTGTAAGGTAGAGAGGAATTAAAGGCTATATTCATTTTCTATTGTTGTTATAATAAGTGACCACAATTGAGTATTTTGAAACAACACAAATGTATAATGTTATAATTTGGAGATCTGTAGTCTGAAATGGGGTCCACTTGGCTAAAATTAAGGTGTCAGTGGGGCTGAGTTACTTCTGGAGGCTCTAGGGTAGAATACATTTCTTTGAGTTTTCCATCTTCTAGAGACTGCCTGCATTCCTTGGCTTCTGGCCCCTACCTCAATCTTCAGCAGCTCCACATCTATAAATCACTCTGCTCTCTGCTTTGGTAGTAAGCTCTTTTTCTCTGACTCTTACTCCTTTGCCTCCCTCTTACACCTGTAAGGACCCTGGTGATTACAGAGGGCCCACTTTGATAATCAAGGATCACCTCTCAGTCTCACGATTCGGGAATTAATCACAGCTGTCCAATCTCTTTTCCCATGAAAATGAAAAAAAAATGACAGGTTCTGGGGATCAGGATGTGGGCATTCTGTGGAGTGGGGCATTACTTTGTCTACTATAAGTGTCAAAGAAATTCTGTAGCAGTTGCTTTACCAAGTAAATAAAGAAAGCCCTTTTAATTCTCAGAAGAGGTTAGCAAGAAATTCTTGATAATTAGAGGACATGACTATTATTATGCATTTATTTGTGCCAAACTCTCCTATGCGTTCTTCCATGGTTTTACCATTAAGTGTATCTACTAGCCCATTTTATAAATGTGGAAACAGAGGTTGGGAGAGATCAGGTGTGAGCTCTGCTGCAGTAGCGCCAGTGTCCTGTTGCAAAGCCCATCCCCTTCCCACTACATTCTGCACTGTATGCACAGTAAATAGAGCTCAGGAGACATGCCCATTTTGACAGCTTAGTGCCCTCAATGGAATCCATTTTTTACAAATATTGCTTGATTATTTTTATAGTTGGGAGCTGGCCAGAGCAAACCTCATCAGTAGCCTTTGGAGTCTCACTTGCTCAATATGGGGGAAGGCTGTGGGGGCACCTGGGTTCCTCTTAGGCTTCATCTCAAGGTTTCCAAAGTAATGTGCCCAGAAACCCAATGCCCTGCACTGCCTGGCCTAGTTTGATGGCCAGCCCAGGGTAGAATCATTTCAGATAAGTAAATGAAAGCATCTCAAAGTGTGCAAACCATTCTACAAAATCAATTCTGCACCTGTGGCAGCAAAACTTTGGGCATTAAGAAAAATTGGAAGAAGTCATGAATAATGGAGATCACACTAAATGGCAGAGGAGAGAGAAACATGGTCTGGTGAAAGTGCTGTTTTGTTATCACAGCCCTCTGAAGTGGAACATTCAATAATACAAAAAAAAAAAAAAAAAAAAAATCTGGGAAAGCCACTTCCCATTAGGATTCCAAACAGGGCAGGAGCCCTAGAGGTGACTGTGATGGAGGTGTTCTTGTACCAGCAGGGGGCAGTGCTCACTCCATAAAAACCATGAACTCTCTCTAGGACTGGCTTCTACAGGATAGGATCTCAGTGAAAAAATGGGCTTGCAGGGAAATGATAGAGAAGCAATCTTCTGGTTAATATGAAAAAAGAGCTTTCTAGCAAGCAGTGCTGCCCCAAAAGTGGAATGGCCCAACATAGAGAACAGAGAGCTCTCCATCTCTAGAATTATTTAAGGAGAGACTGCGTAGAGATCTGTTAGGAAGTCCAGGGGTTTCTATTTAACATTAGAATCACCCCAGGAACTTTTGTAAATTACAAATTTTCCAAATCAGAGCCATTGGTGAGAGAGGCAGCTCAGGAGTCTATGTTTTTAAAACTGCCCATGAAATTCTGATGACCAGCCCATTTGGAGACCCAGCTACACTTAAAACAGATTTGCAACTCCTACCAGGCTTCCCTAGCTTATGGCATTCAAAGGATACCCGTTAGCTTTTAGGTACATTGGTTTGTTCTACCTGTGGATGTCTCCCAGGTTACCATTAAGTGTCCCCAGGTTTTTCACATATATTCAAATCAGTCCTCTTATGTTTTTTGAATCACCCTGCTTGTTGATGTCACTGCCTCCAAGTAGCTTGAGGAAGACGCCTCATAGTCATCACTGCTGATGGTTTATCCATGATTGTGTGGTGAGTGTCAAATGCTTCTTGTGTCACATGCTCTGTAGTCACAAAGAATGGGAAGAAGGAAGTAGGGCTCTGGTAAGTGTTTATTTAATCATTAGCTCTCCAGGAGAAAAGAAAAAGGCTCTGATTTGTAGTGTTTTTTAAATTCCCATCGTATAAATATTCCTATCATGACTGATTTCAAGCTTTTAACTTGATATCAACTGGCTTGAAAAATTCCTGGAAATTTAACACTTAGTGCTCTGGTGGGAGGAGGAGGGAAGTTTTCTGTCATTCAGGGGCCCTACTGCTTATGATAAGAGTCCATTATGAAGGCAGCTACTTCGTTTCTACTTGTGGTATCCTCTTCCATAGGACACTAGACTAATGTTCTTGGGGTAGGCTGGGGAATTACATGCTCCCCTACTTGTTTCTCAGACAATGATTCCTGACTCCAAGCATCTGAACACAAACTCACCATTTCAGGAGGGACCTTCCTATGGGTATATCACTTGTGCATATAGATGTCTGGTAGAGCCTCCCAATCCTCCCTCCAATCTCAAGTTAAGTATAGCTTGGTCCCTAAGGTGGTTGATCATCAGAACTTCATGGACAACTTAAAAAATATAGACTCCTGGGATGTCCATTCCTCCCGTGACTCTAATTTATAAAATCTATAATTTTCAAAAGTTCCTTGGGTGATTCTAATATTGAAACATTTTGAGGGAGTCATTGCTGCTTTGGAAAGAAGGTTAGTTAGAGAGCATAACCTTTAATGGTGTTTCCAGAAGAGTTGAAATCATCAAGTTCTGGCATTATCTGCTTCCCAATGAGTCCTAAGGAGAAGAGCAGTGACTCCTAGGGCTGTGACTGGACCTTCTTTCTGCCTGCAGCAGGGCAGGCTTAGAAAATCAATAGTCAACATAGCAGTTCTTGAGAGAGCTGTTAAGCAGGATGGTGACGGCTGCCTAAATTACATAACTCTGAGCTGCCTTGATGACCATCAACCCTGCCAGTGGGCTGTGGCTGAACTATCCTCAGGCTCTGCTTACTCTGGCCTCCTCCCCATTCTTTCTTCCCAAGTCTTACTCTTGGATCCCTGTTGCAAAGCTTGCTACTCAGAGGCAGGCCTTGGGTGGTAGATTTCCCCAAAGGGCAGAGGAATTGTCTTCTAAGTCTGGCCCAAGAGAAAATGACCTCAGAGTCAGATAAAAGAACTAAGGGAAGAGAGGAAGCTCTTGTGAAATCTCACTGATATCGTCAGTCACCTTTGAATAAAAGTGGATCAACCTGTTTTGTTTTGTTTTGCTTTGCTACTCATAATTCATGTAGAATGTTATAGAAATGAAACCAATGAGGGACAGTCATATGAACCAAAAAGCAAATGTTCTTGGGTGAAGGAGTTTGGATGTGTCCTAGGGAGATGCTTTCTGCCAGGTGGCATCAAACTAACCCCACTGTGTTTATTCTGGGAAGGATAAGTAGAGTGGACAAAAAGATGGATTTCCCAGCTCTTGGGCCTGTTCCCAGTACTGCTGTCCCTCCTCTCTCTGCATCCCCCACCCACAGCGTGAATCACATGGCTCTCAGAACTGAGCAAAGGGAGACTTAAGTGGTCTATATTAATTTCCTTCCAACAGTGTAGGCCTATGGTTCCTTTTTTTTTTTTTTTTGGTGGTGGTGGTACTGGGGCCTATGGTTCCTTGTGATGGAACTATCATTGCTGGGAGCTGTAGACTCTGTGTTACTTCTGCCTTGTGGTCCAGGGAATTTGATTGAATGATTGGACCTTCACCTCCAGTTTTAACTCATCATCCAAAAATCATGATGCTGAACACAGTTCCCCACAGTGCCTCTGTCACAATGCCCCAAGTGAAAACCTTAGTGCCTGCTGTTAGCAATGAGATTTACAACAGCAGTGTTGTAAACAGGAAGAAGGTGCTGAATGGAGCCTGGTAACACTCTCTCTCTCTTGCCATCTGTCTCAGTGATGTAGATCCCCTGTCTCTCTGCCTCTGATCCTCCCTCCTCTGAATTCCCAGCATGTTCTGTGCCCTACATGGTCATATCTATCACCTAGGATTTCCTGCTGGGCTCACCCTGATGCCTCCTGAAAGATTTGTGGTAAGTCTCCAGAACTGCTAAGGTCTTTCCATCCTCCCAATTTCTGCATTTGTTGCCAAGACTCATGAGTGCAGGGAGTAGTTTCTCTGTTGTAATCTCTCCAAAAGACCTGTCTTTTAAACAAGGGTTAGTGAATACCTATCTGCATCGAGCTGGCTTGTGCCTCTCCAGAGAGCAAAGATGAGGCTACAGAGCCCACGTAGACCAGACTCAGTGTTCATCCACAACCTATAACTGCAGATTACAACACTGGTGAACTTTGGACGACTCCAGAATCCATCATAGGGTAAACTTTAGCCAACTAGTGAAGTGGAAATGTGATGCACATTTCATTAAAAGGACTCTGAAACCTAATGCTGAAGCTCTGTGTATGTACTGATAAAAGGGCTTTGTGGGCGTGAAAGACAGTTTGCAGATATGGGCCCAAGCAGAAAACAGGAGGGTTATCAGTAGTCAGAGGGAATTAGGGTGGCTAGCATTCAGAAATACCTGAGGGTGATGACGTAAGTCAAGAAACCAACCTTGGACTCAATAGCTCCAAAGTAACTCTATATGACCTAGAACAAGAAAGTCACTTATATTCTTTAAACCTCAGGGTCCTCACGAGTAAATCTAGGGTGCAAATGAAACAGTAAATAAGTCCTGAAGTGAGTTCCAGTGCCTGCTTTGGTAGCAGTTGTGTAAACTTGGTAAGTTTTTTAGCCTCTGCCTTCTCAAATAAGAAGCTGCCAAGCAGAGTATATATGGGTTGTTTTTTGTTTTTCAGACAGGCTGAGTTTCCAGTCCTATCTTGGCCACTTATTAACATTGTGACTTTGGATAAATAACATCTCCTCACTCCTCGGCCATGGTAGCACAAGGGCTTTCCTTGATAGGATCATTGTGAGAACAGTCAGGCTCACAGTGAGTGAGAAATAAAAGCTGCTGTATGATTAAAAAGTTGGCTAATCATCCCTTCCCACTTCCAAGTCCTAACTGGTCGAAGAGCAGACAAACTGCAATCAAGGTTTCACATCTATGTGTTGTCAAGTGCCCAATAATTCTGGTTTCTAGGATTCACTGGTGAAGGTAGCTGGGAGAGCTTGGCTACCACTGTGGGCGAAATGAGGGCCTCCTTCTGCTTTGGACTCTGAGTATATGGTTGGTTTCGGGGAGGGTAGGAAATAGCTTGCATCTCCCTTGCTGGCAGAGAAGAGAAAGCCCATAAGAGAATGGTTGCCTGAAGGTTGCCTCTTGATGTCTTGACCCAGAGAGGCCTGTCCCTTCCTATACTACCTCAAGACAGGGGAGGTGAAAACTGAGAAATCAGGTCCAGTGAGTATTGTGCTGTCACCAGTCATGTCAGCTGATGTTCCATAGGGGAGGAATGGGACGAAAGAGGGACTCTGGATAGTCATGCCAATATTCCACCATCCTGGACAGAGGAGTTATGAATTGCATGTTTATATTCCATCACTTCCCAGCTCATCTCCAATGCGAATAGTATTTGGAGATGGGGCCTTTGCAAGGTAATTAGGACATGAGGGTGGAGTCCTAATGATTGGCTTAATACCCTTATCAGAGACAGGAGAACTTGAGTCCTCTCTTATAAAAGTCAAGGACAGAGCCTCTGGAACTTTATAGTGCCAGATGCCCACAAATACACACAAGTTAGTGATTTCAACAAAAAGAAACAAGATGTTTATTTTTGGAAAGGTTATCCTGGGAAAAGGGAGTTTCTCTTCTTTCTTAACACTCCCTCTGGTTCTCACCACTGCCTTGATACCTAATTGGTACTCCTGCTCTTCCTTCCCCAGAACATCCTCTGCATACTCTTCTAGGCAACTTAGGGTCAGGGAGAAGGAGCAACCAAAGAGTGACTGGGGTGGCAGCCAGGCCAGAGGGCTGGCTCAAATGTTGAACAATGAGACTACTTTCAGAGGAGACATGGTGGAAGGCTGAGTGGCTGCTCCTTGTTCTGATGGTAAGATAGGCAAGCAAGTAGTGGTGGGGGTAATTATAGGATATCGAGACTCAGTTTCTATCTCTAAGCCAAGATGGCTGCTTCAGGCTGCTGCATGAGTGCTTTAGGCCTCTCTGGAGAAGATGCCCTATGAAGTGGGACATCCAAGGAAGAAGAGGACCACTGCTTGAAAGATTTATGGTCCTGATGCAGGTCCCTGGACTACACCATATTCATTTACACATTCATATCTCACTTATGCCTCCAGTACTACTTGTGAATGAAAAAATTGAGTTTCAAGGGACTATCATATGCTCCAGGCATGATGCTAGTAAGTGGTCAGAACCAGGATTTGAACCCAAGCCTGATTCCAAAAGCTTTTGTACCACCCACATTGCCTACCATTCCACTCCCACCCCCACCCTGAACTTGGATCAAATTCAGGTCCTGTGCATGCTAGGCAAGCACTCTATCATCAAGCTACATCCCCAGTCCAACCTCCCATCATTCTTAGGTGAGGAAAGGAAATACTTTAAATCCCATTAGTCATTAATACCTGTTCCAGTCACTACTGCTGGATAACAGACCACTACAAAACTTAGTGGCATAAAAACAACCATTCTATTATGCTCACTACTTCTCTGAACCAGGAATCTGAACAGGATGAAGCAGGGCCAGCTTGTCTGTACTCCACAACATTTTGGGCCTTATCAGGGAATAACTGAATGCCAGTGGGACCCGATGGCTTGAGTCATCTGCATGAATCAATGCTGCCATGTTGGCTGGTGAATACTGGTGTTCAGCTCAGGCCTCAGTGAAGTCATTGAGTCATTGAGTCATTGAGTCACCTCCATGAGGTCTCTCCATGTGGTGTCTTGCCTGGGCTCATTTGGACTTTTTTAGAGTATGACAGGTGGGTTCCAAAAGTGAGCATCCCCAGAAAAGAAGGTGAAAGTGCATGGGATCATTTTATCATTTTGATTTGACCGGGGGAGTCATGTAGTGTCACTTCTACTGTATTCTATTGCTTGAGGTAGTCAAAAAAGGCCTATGCTGGATCAAAGGGAAGCGGTATAAACTCTACAACTTGCTGGGAGTATCAAGGTCACCTGGTAAGAATAGCATGTGGAATGGGAACAGTGCTGCTGTTACGTGCCACAATACCTTGGAGTGAAGAGTTTGATGGTTACCTAGAGTGACTTTTGATTGCAAGAAGGGAAGAAAGGGAGATGGAGAGGCCTTGGGGATGCTCTATGCCCACAGGAGAAAAGGAGTCCCTGAGGTAGTGTCTGGGCTGAGAGCAAGGAAGAAAATTCTACCACCTTACTTCATTATTTGACATCTTTTGTCACATGAAATATTACTAGCAGAACTGCTGTCTGACCTTTCTTCCCAAATCCTGCATTAGCCCACACCCAAGCAGCAAAACTTCCAACATCTCACCTGGGTTTGAACCATGAAGATAGTTACCTCTCTAAGTATGACAGTCCACCGTTTTAGCAGCTTCAATGGTCTCAAGATTACCAGCCTCCTTGGTTGAGTTCCAGGTGTTTTCTTAATGATTCTCCCACGTGGGAAACAATCTCTTAATAAAAAGCCTTATCCTCTTATTGTCCTCACACAAACTCTCAGGGGAGAGACTTCTGAAGCTAATGGTCTTTGGTTCCATATAGGCTCAAAATAATCAAATATTTCTTCATAAACAGCAACAGTAGTAGCAACAACATTATTTCCAGAGGAGGAACCAGAAACTCTAAAAGTCAATATAAAATCTGGAAGGGCTGGGGCCAGGATGTCTATATTTGTAAAGTATACTGGGTCCTCTGTGATTTGTCTTGCATATTCTGCTGTTCCTTCCCTTGCTCATCTTTCTCTAGCCCAAAGTCCTCTTTACAAGCTTCTTCTATACAAGGTATGTTCATGTTGTGCTCTTTGCACATGATCTTCTCCAAGGAAGCCTTTGAATGCTCTTTTACCCAGTATTTACATGGCTCAATCCCCCACTTACCTCATTTGGAGAGACCTAGAGTCAACAACCCTACCTAGGTGTCAGAGAAGACATGGACCACATACGTGCAGGTAGGCACTTGCAGAAGATCCCAGCCTCTAGCTATTGCATCACCTCTGGCCTTTGGGTCTTAGCTGATATGGAGTAGAGATCAACTATCTGTGTCCTCTGCAAATACTGACTCACTTAATTCAAGTCTCTACTCAAACAATACGTCCCTGGAGAGGACATCTCTAAGTACCTGTGTCTAAGATAGTATTCTCAATCATTTTCTATCCTTTTCTTTTCATTTTTCATAGCTGTTATAGGATAAAAATACATATTCACTAGTTTTTATGGCATGCCCTCCTCACCATGGGATGTAAACTCCATAGGAATGTTGGTACTTAGAGAAGTGCCCAGTACCTATTAGGCTGCTGTTGCTATATTGATTTTTCTTTTCTTCTCTCTCTCTCTCTTTTTTTCAGTGCTGGTGATTGAACCCAGGGCCTTGCACATGCTAGGCAAGTACTCTACCACTGAGTTGTATCCCTGAGACTCAGTGCAATGAATATTTGTGGAATGAATAAACACTTGACAATTATGCTTCTAGCCCTTTTCCCCAGAATCATGTCAGATGCTGTTAAGCAATCTTGGCTCTCTTTGCCCTTGAATCTGAATGCTTTGGAATTGCTCACAACATAAGAATGCATTCCTGATTTGCACTAGCAGATGTGATAGAACCCATTTTCCACATCTGGTCTATAGCATTAATTTTGGTATGTTCATTTATTATCTTGCGGTTTTTATTTGGTGTGTACAACTACATACTAGATGCTCTCTTAAGCCAGAGACTAGGTCTGTTACTATTTTGAGCACATAAAAGTTCAAAAAGCCCTAGATGAATTGAAATGATTTGTGATAATTGTCAGATCAAGCCTTTGGCCAGAAAGGAGGAGGGCTGAATCAACATCTGACCTCTAGGCTTCCCAAGATAAGAGTAAATAACTGGCACCATGCTGTTCGAAGAGACTTCTAGGACTGAAGATGCTACCTTCTGGCAAAATATAG